GTGTTGGATGTGAATAAACTTAACTTTATTTGCATATATAGGCGTTCCATTCCAGTATGTGAAGCACCATATTGATGCAGTTGACAAAGCCAATTTGACCTACAGTTACAGTGTGATCGAAGGTGGGCCTTTGGGAGACAAGCTTGAGAAAATCTCTTTCGACAACAAGTTGGCAGCTGCAGGTGAAGGGACCCTTGTCAAGAGCTCAATGAAGTTCTTCACCATTGGTGATTCCACCTTCACCGAAGATGAAATTAAGGAACAAATTCAAAGAATGGATGGAGTTTACAAGGCTGTTGAAGCTTACCTCTTGGCTAACCCCGATGTCTGCAACTAAGATTCTCATGTTTTCTTTTTCTTCTTCAAATTACCAATACTGTCTTTGCTATTTCCAATAACGGTGGCATGCTATGGTCACCGGGGTTTCCTCATCCTTATTTCCATTATACTTAATCACTTCGAGTTGTATCATCTTTCATCAAATAAAATAAACACATAAAATTGCAAATGAATTGGGTTCTACCTGCCTACAATGTTGAGATATATATTGGAAAAAAAAAAGACTTTTCTTCATGAAATCTTTTGCTTTAAACTAGGACTGTTTCACACGAAATTCCAAGACATGAACCTAAAGTGGTGAGAGACCCGGTCCATAACTATATTCATTCTATATTACCATAAATATGCACACACTCAAGTGGATGTAAATAATTAGTCCATAACTATATCCGTATATGGAATACTCACCCCTATTGCAAAACCATAACTATATCCATAGTATATCGTTTGCCCGCCCTCTTTTTCCTGTCTTTCCAGGCAAGGAAGCAAGGCAGCGGCTGCTACGGATGAGGGAAAGCTTCTTCTTCTTTCTCTTTCTCGATGGTAATTGAATAGCTCTCACCACTATTACAAAATCATGCACTCTTTAAACATTTAAGAATTAGTGTCACAGCCCAAATTTTTAGGAAAATTTGAATTTAAATAAAAGAATTAATTTGGGTAAAATTTAGGGATTATATTGTAAAATATTAAACCTAGCAGACCATTTTAGGAAGTTTTAGAGAATTTGGGGACCAGAGTATGAATTTTCCCATTTTTATTACCGGATAAACCCTATTCCCCCAAAACACCAAATCCCTAATCCCCAAATTATCACTCATTTACTGGCCAAATATGCCGCCATCCGACTACCCCAGCCCGAGCCACGACCACCGAAATACTCACCGTCGAACGGTGATCAAAACCCAACCCCAACTTCATCGAGAAACGACGCTATTCCCCGTGAATTGGCCATCAAAAAGTCGTTGAAAGCCATCGTCGCCGAGGGTATCTTCACTGATGATTCCGACAGCGTCCGACGTTGTTTCATCTCACCACCACCTTCACTGCATTCACCGTTGTCGTGCGAACAAAACCCGATTGGTTTTATTCACCGGTGACGCGCCGTTGCCAATCGCCGGCGTGGGTAAGTTACCAATCGATTTTTAGTAATTTTGGCTTGGTTTGAGCATATTATTGGATTAAATTTGGGTGAATTTGAGTTCATTGTTGTTTTGGGAAAATTCTGCAGGTGAAATGGGTCCCGGATACCGCCACGCGCCGGTAGTGTGCGTGGGGGTCTTCGGCTGGTCTAAGAAAATTCTAGAAACAGGTTCGGGAAGAGCTAACTCGCCTGCTTGACCCGTTGACTTAGGTCAGAGTTGACCGTTGATTTTAACCGGTCAGACCATTGATTTTAACCGGTCAGACCATTGATTTTAACCGGTCAGACCATTGACTTTGACCAAAAAGCCAAATTTTTTGAAAAATCCTATTTTATGTTTATAACATCCTGAGCCCAATTTTGAAGTCGTTTTTGCCAAATTCTAACATGAAAGCCTCCAAATTGACTGTCAAACCCAAATATACTTATGTAATTAAATGTTTTAATTTCGAAAAAAATTAAAGTAAGACTTGGGACTGATTAATTGTTGTTATTTGAAAGTATACGAGACTTATCCGATCGCTCGCCAGCTTGACCCAACTCTTCTTGATCCGTTAGGCCACGGGAGCCAATAATCACTCGTATGAATCGTGAACTTTTTGAATACCCCGATTTAAAATATTACTTTGATATTAACTTTGATTTCTATAAATTAGGTTCGAGCACTGTAGTAGAGCGTGACGAGGCCGGTGCTCAGTATTTTTACTGTGTGCCCTATTTTACGAGGTGTGTTCCCTATGTGCTACCCGATTGTTTTATCCTATTTGATATATATGTTTTACTGAAATTTATGATTCAATGGATGATGATTCATGAACTATGATGGAATGATGCATGTTATTTGAATACTTGTTTTCACTAGACGATATGATTTTGCTGAATACGAATAATGGAAAATTCTGCTTGTCATGTGAACTATTTATGGAGATATTATCTGGGTAGGCTAGAGTATGAAGGTTTAGCTCTGATCAAGCTGGTAAATCCTTACGGACCTAAGACGACTCTTGGGTAGGCTTTCAGGCCCCAAGATACTCCCTTAGGTTGGCTCCTTATATTTAATGGGTATAAGGTAAGCCCTATGGATACGATTATGGGAAACTGCATATGGTGTACGGGAGGAGGGTATACTATATGATTTAATAACTTATGCTTTATCATGATTTCCATGATATTTACTTGATGGTTTTGCATACTATGTTTTTATTGCACTAATGGGACACACTAAGCCCTAGCTCACTTTTCAAATTGTTTCTCCCCTTCCAGATACTTGTGGATAGGCATCCGAATCAGGCACTTGGAGGATTGACACATTATAGAAGAACTTTTTGTTGTAATGTTTTTATCTTCTGAATTGCTTTTAATTATGTGGCATGTGCCTTTATTTTGACATGCTCATTTTATTATGATGATGTTTAATTACTTTTGCTACTAATACTTGTTTTACCATAATTCAGGTTTGTGACATGTTTGGTTTTACGTAATCATTTTTAGTTTTATATTTATGAGTTAAACTTTTATCGTTATTTATTATACTTTTATAAATGTCATTTGTAATATGGTTTTAAATTATCGAATAATGTTTTTGGAAAAATGTTTTAAGAATTTTTAATGTAATTTTCTAGACTTAGTCGAAACGTATAGGCTGGGTCTAGGGGGTTACATTTTATTGGTATCAAAGCTTTTGATTTTTAAACCTCGAATTGTAAATGGGTCCCACATAAAATTTTAAACTATTTTGAAAATGTTTTACAAAAGTTATGTAAGGCCATGTCACTCGTTTTTAAAAGTTAAATGTGTACAGTACTCTAGTGCCAATCTAACCTTAAGTCTACCTCATGTAGTGAATTAGAGATCCTTGTCGATGAGTGTCAGACAAGGTCATCAGCCTAGCCGTGAGTGAGGTCGACCTGCTAGATTTTCTGACCCGGTTGATGACACTGCTATAGACCCGCCACCTACACCCGAGATAGATATGTCAACTCTTGTCAGGGGAGCTCCCGACTCTAGTTCTGAGCTTACGATAGTGGTGCTTGATGAGACTTTCGGTAGGCAGTTTCTGCAACTGATTCAGGGTGCGGTTAAAGCTGTTGGAATTGTTCTTGAGGTTATGATTTCTCAAACCCTGAATACTAATAGGGTCAGGATTTTTGAGGTCCGATTGGAGGAGCTCCTACTGAAGCTGAAGATTGGCTACATGATACGGAAAGACGATGGATCAGTTGGGTTTGGACCAATCTAAGAGATATCTGGGAGAAATTGCGATGTTAGATGGGAATGCCCACACCTGGTGGGAATATGTAGTCAGTAGTGTCCCAGCCGATCGTTTGACTTGGGATTTCTTCAAAGAGCGCTTCAGGAAGCATTTTCTGGGGGAGCGTTACCTGGCTGAGAGACAACAACAATTCCAGGACTTGGTGCAGGGAGATATGTCAGTCTCTGAGTACGAGATGGAATTCTTGAAGCTGTTAACATATGGTATTAGTCTGATTCCAACTGAGAGAGAGATAGATGCTGCAAGTTTGCTCTCGGACTCAGATATGAGTTGCGTAGACATGTTGTGACCCAACAGGATGAGATATTTGATGTACTAGAGAGCATAGCGAAAGATGCTGAGGAGGTGAATGCCTTAGCTCCTGATAGAGATCGTGTTGATCGGGAGCGACCTAAGAAGTCTTCCGACCCTACTGATTCTTTTGCACGTCCTGGGAAGAGGACTCGTACTTCGGCCCCTCAAAAGAGCAATATCAATTCCAAGTCTGCAGCATCTCCACCCCCAGCTGTTAGTCGAGGTGGTTCTTCGAGTTTGCCTCAGGTGCCTATTTGTGATTATTGTGGTAATCGACACAAATGAGAATGTCGTAAGAAAATGGGTGTCTGCTACCATATTGAGGGCTATTTCAGAAAACTTAATTGTATATTGTTGCTCCATTGAAAGATTTTGAGCTTGAACCACGGAACTCGTAACCCATCAAATTATCAAATGGCTTGATAGAGTCGATTGGTAAGGTTGATTGGTGTTAAAACATGAAAGAAAACACCTTAGTAATACAATAAAACGACCATCAGTCACAATTGTGTATACGAAAGTCTATCACCACGATTTTTGTTTGGTGAAGAAAAATATATTTTAAAAATGGTAAACTGAAACTTTACCCTAAACTACTTTGAATTTATAAAAGGCCTATAATTAATATTTTATCTAAAATTAAGGGGTTAAAATAAAAATTAAACCTTTTTTAACGTACTAAATCATTAAATTAACGATATTCAATATTTTAGTGACTAAAACTTAATAAAATGATAATGTATTCAAAATTTAATATTTTTAATTTAATGAGTGAAAGTGTACAAATATAAAAAGTAAGTGATCATTCATGCAGTTTATCTGATTTAAAAATAAAAAACTATTTTAATAAATAATATTTTATGAAGTAAAAAAAATTATTCATCTCAAACTCAAACAACTAAAAATCCTAGTTTTTTTTCTTTATGTTTTTAATTTACTTCATCTCCTAATTCACTTTGAAGCCCTAGACATACTGACACCACTAACCTCTCCTACCCCACGACTGAGGGGGGGGGGGGGAAATCAGAAGCGCTTTTTTTTTTGTTCAACGGTGTTGTTTTTGTTTTAAAGTTCATTTCCTTAATCCTTTCCCCCTTTTTCCGTTCCGTACAATGTCGGTTTCTGGTGGTGTTTCGATCGCGAGAAGCAGACGCGGTGAGAATCGGTTTTACAATCCGCCGCCGATGAGGAAACAACAACAGCAACAGATGGCGATGAAGATGCAGCAGCGGGAAGAAAAGCCGTCGATTTCCAAGAGTTCGACGGAGAAGAGAACGGATCGCGAGGAATGCGCTCTGTCATATGCATCTTCATCGCCGTTGAATAATAGTAATAATAATAATAATAAGGATAATAAAAGGAATTATGACAATTCCTCGAATTTGGATCGGTTCTTGGAGTTTACGACTCCTGTGGTTCCGGTTCAATATTTTCCCAAGGTAACGAAGACAACCCTACTTTATCAATCACGGTTTGTTTCTTGTATTTTCTGCTTTTTGGTTCAATATTTAATTTCTGTGTTCCTTTGATTGATTAAAAACTACAGCCCTCTCCGTTTTTATGTTGATATTTTTCCTTTTTAAGGGTTATCCTAAGTTACTAATTAGCTGTAGTAGTGCCATTACGTAACCTTAATTTCTTATCAAGCAAAACCCAACAGAAAATTGAAGAAATTTGTATTATTATGTGTGGTAGAAAACGTTGTAAAGCTGAATTTTTTCTTGTAGCAACAGAAACCCGGACAAATAACAATTGTTGATTATTGATAAATATAAAATAGTGAATTGCTTTTCCCCAAATGGTTTGTTAAATATGAAGTTATTGATTAATCTTGTATTGATGAAATTTTATTTTGATTATCCTGTAGACAAGCAGCATTAGAGGATGGAGAGGGAAAGAGCAAGAGCTCAGACTGCAGTCTTCACCATATTTTGTGCTTGAGGATTTGTGGGAGTCTTTTAAGGAATGGAGTGCATATGGAGCTGGGGTTCCACTTTTGTTGAATGGAAGTGACTCTGTAATACAATACTATGTTCCTTACTTGTCTGGGATTCAACTGTATATAGACCCATTGAGACCCTCCACGAGACTGTGGTAAAGTTGTTCAGTTGTTAACTATAATCTATGTAATCATTTTAGTGCATTTCTTGACTTAGAAATTTTTTATGGCAGTCAACGGCTTTTGGATCCTTTTGTGGTTAAGTAAGAATCTGCAATTGGATTATTAGAGTAAGATTTATTGGCTTGTGAGTTGTGAAGCCATTCTCAAATTTGCTTGACAGTCGATATAATCTAGGTTGTGTTGTATTATTCCATTTTTTTGCTGATTTGCTTTAACTCTCTGTTGTATGGTCCATAATCTTAGTGAGATGAATAGAGGTTGAAGAGCAAAGTGATGAGTTCTCTTGAGCTGTAAATCATTAATTTTAATCCGTGCTTGAAGTGCTAGATTTATTGCTTCTTGTTGTGTTATTTCATTTCAGGAGGCCTGGTGAGGAGAGTGATACCGAGTCATCTAGGGACACAAGCAGTGACAGTAGCAACAGCGATTGTGGAATGGGAAGAAGAGCTAGCAATGTTTTCCAGATGGCTCGGAGTCAGCTGAAGGTTGCAGATTCGAATATCGAGAAATTGACAAGACTGTCAATTAGGAATAGATCCTTTGGGGGTTCATCAAGTGATGAAAATGATAGTTGTACTCCTGGTCAGCAGCTTATATTTGAATATTTAGAACATGATCAACCATTTAGTCGTGAGCCATTGTCTGATAAGGTTAATTCCATTGTCATTTGTTACATTATCATTTGTCAGTTATTTTGCTCTCTCTAATTACAATGCTTCCTGCAGATTGCAGTTCTGGCATCTCGATTTCCGTCACTAAAGACGTACAAGAGATGTGATCTTTCACCTTCAAGTTGGATTTCTGTGGCATGGTATGTATTGTTTTCTTTCTTGTAAAAGTTATTCAGATCTTGCTTATTGCTATTGTGATTTTAAACCCGATTATATCTGACGTTTTTTTCTTAAATGAAGGTATCCTATATATAGGATACCAATGGGACCAACTCTGCAAAATCTGGATGCCTGCTTTTTAACCTATCACTCTCTGTCTACACCGCCACCAGGTAGTCATCTCTTGTATGGTTGCTTATTTGTATTGTTTCCAGCAGACGCATTGTACAATGTTTTATTGATATATTTTGGAGCAGGTACAGGCATCACCCTGGATGGGTTCCCCTTTAATGTCTGGGAGTTTCATGGTGGTAACATGTCCTTAAAGATACCGTTACCAACATTTGGACTTTCTTTCTATAAGTTCAAAGTTTCATTTTGGAATCCTGATGAGGTTAATGAATCTCAAAAAGCTAATTCCCTCTTACGAGCTGCTGATAATTGGCTTCGGCTTTTGCAAGTGAATCATCCAGATTTCAGGTTTTTTGTTTACCACAATACATACAGGAGGTGAGCCAAGTACTAAAGCATCAACAAAATCTGCCACTTAACTCCAAGAAAATCCCCGTAACCCAGCAGACAACACTTCCAAACCATTGATGGTAGCTCATGCTCATAACTTGAAATTGCATGCAATATCTGTAGTTCTTCCTCATGGTTGCGACTATGATGCCCTATCATGCATCGATTATGGTAAAAAAAAAAGTGATATGGACGTGATATTTCATTTCATCTGGCAAGCTTCTAGTGATACTAATGGCCTTGAAGTGGTAGATGTCAATGGCTACGCCTACAATAAGTTTGTTTGATTTTGACAATGATCGAAGATAATATCTGTGATATTTGTATATAATTCTTGTCATTCTGAGTTCCACAATGTGTAACGGACTTCCCGTACTAACACATATATAGTTAAGACATGAAGTTTTAGTGCTTTTGATGCACACGACTGTATTCTTCACCACACTCGTATATATGTATATTAGTAGTTAAGGTTTATATGTCAAATCTTTGTCCCAGTCATTCTTGAGAAACGTTACGAGGAAGCTTGTGCGCATTTTCAAAAATATGCTTGAAGGCATCTATGGTGATGGTGAATCCCTCACTTCAAAGCATCAAAGTTGATGCAGATGGGTTATTGTCCTCCTAATAGATCACAATTGCTAATCTCGGATAATGGACTAATATTTTTAGCAAAGGATAATCTATTTGAATGGTCATTTATCTTTTATATTTGTATATTTTTGCTCACCAATTTCAAAAAAGTTAAGTTTTGGTTATTCACGTTATTATTATATAAGTTTTGGTCAATAGAATGTTGAATGTTGTTAATTTTATGATATGAAACGTTAGTAAAAAAAATTATCTTTAGGATAAACTATGTGTTTAATACATATACTATCAGTTTTGATTCATTTTAGTATATAAACTTTCATTATTTTTCAAAATGATACCTTACATTTAGTTTTGTTTCAATTTAGTGCTTCACCGTTAAATATTTAACGGATGGCCCTGTCGGTCGTCACATCCGTCGATCGATGAACACACTTTCTGGTATGTGCCTTTCCAATCTCCTAAACATGATTATGGCCTTTGTTTCACCGGAAAAACACCTTAATCTCCTCAAATCAATGATAGAATCTTTGATTTTTTTCATACTCGATCTCTATGATCTATTGTTCGATGGACCTGAAATTGAACTATATTGGTTGACTCGACATTCTCTCGTGGTCCACTATTCAAATTGCTCGTTCATCCATATGAGCTATGCTACGTCAATCCGTCCGTTAAGTTTTCAATGGTCTAATACTAAAATGAAACAAAAACTAAACGTTAGGTATAGTTTTGAAAATAAAAATAAAAAATTAGGTACTAAAACGGATCACAAATGATAGTTTAGGCAACAAACGTGTAATTTACCCTAATTTTTTCTTATAACTCGTATACTTTAGATAAAATATTAATTATTGACCTTTTTATAAACCCAAAGTAGTTATGGATAAATTTTCAATTTACCTTTCCTTAATATACTTTTCACCTATGTTAAAACTCAAGCTTTTCCACCATTTACTCCACATACACCGGTCTGTGCCTAGGCTTCTTGACGTTCGTCTTTCTCGTCGTAGATCAACTTTTAAGCACCATTCACGAACATACCTAACTCAACATATTCAACTCGTGCATCTTGTTCTCTTCTGTTATTTACTGAAGTTTGCCCCCTTATCCATTTGCCTCCAGGTCTGTTAGATTTCAAGGACATGATCTGATCTAATCAGAACAATTAGCAACAGAATGTTTTAGTTATTCCTCAAAATCTCTTAGGATCTCATGTATATCATATTAATCAAGAGAAAGACAATAGATAAATTATTTTAATTAGGTTGATTTGTCAATACTTTTATGTTATCTTTGATTGTCTTTTTAAAAGATAATCATCCTCTACAAATATCCACACACAACCACGTGACGAACAGTTCATTGGAATACTAATTCCAAATTGTTTCTCCTAAAAATGTTTAGTGGTTTTCCAAATGGATGAAACACTCCTTCTATTCTAAGGACGACTGAATAATCTAATAACTAAAAAAAACTGTATGCATATATCATCTATGCATACAAGTTAATCAGACTTAGGGTTAAGTCTATCTTTTTAAATTTAATTATTAGTTTTTTTAAGAAAATTAAAATAAATAATAATTGAAATCACACCCCTTATTTAATAAAAAATTCAAATTTTAACAAAATCCTACTTGAAGTTTTATTTAATATTATTTACTAATCAAATTAGAAAATAATAAATAAATAAAATATTTGCCACCATTAGACAAAAAATTTATCTTCTCTTAAATAAAATAAAATCTAAATAATAAATAATCCTTTATTTTATAATTTAAAATAATCTCATCGTCTTAAATTATATGGAGAGTGATAACTACAATTATTCTTATTTGTTTTTATTGTGTGATACTATATGTTAAGTTAACGTTGACGATAGATAAAATCATATTTAACCCTACAAGTGATTAGCGACCTCTAACAAGACATTATGATTACACAAGTTAAATGAAAAACTCATGACCCAAAATAACCTTATTATATCTCATGTTATTATCATTTTATCTCATGATATCTTGATAGAATACGAAGTATGAAAAACGTTAACTTTATATCGTTTTATCTTCAATTTCTAGATGTTCAATTGGACTGACTAAACAAATTATATTTATCTTCATCAATTTATTTGAGCACGACCAATTATTTCTCCCATCTCAATCAGCGAGAACCCTGAGATATTTCTTATGATCAGAGAGACAAATTACATCTTAACCACTAATACCTCACTATATAATTTTTGTCATATTGAAGTATAACATTTATAATCGTCTTATTAAAGACAATATTTGACTATGTCAAAACATAATAATTATCATGTTGAGAATTGTAGAAATTTCAAAACTAAGAATTTAATGATGTGAGTGTTAAAGATTAACATATGATATTGATTCATGCATTAATCTAAAAAAGAGTCGATCCAATATTTATTCTCAACAAATACATATAAATTTGATTTGTATCTCATCCACATATTCATCTTATGAATATTTATCGAACTTCATAGCAGTCTTATTTTATTATTGTTCCCACAATAATAATAGATTATGGACATTTAGAATAATTAATAATATTATTCAATGATATTAATGTACAATAAGCATGTAAATTATAATAATAATAATCAAAATATTATATTCATAAAATAGGCTTATGTCACTATTGCTAAACCAGGTCAACAACTTCCTCCAATGCCTTCAAATAAATTTAGAGTTTCGAATTTTTAAGCGGGAAGTCGGATTGTTATAGATTTAAATCAATTCGAATTCAGATTATTTTAAAATATCAATTTGAATAATTTTATATTAGTATCGTTTTAAGTTGGAATCAATTTAGATTCTGATTGAACAAGTTGAATAATGGGGAACTGGCAGGTTATGAAGATGGCAAAGCTGATGGTATGCATGGCGTGCCACATGTGGAGAATAAAGCAAACTAGAAAATTGTGGGTTCAAAGACAGATAGATCATAATAGTTGAATGTAGACAGCCAACCTAACAAATAAACTTTTGTCCGGTTGGAATTTAGGATCACCGTTAAATGGTCTGTGTCTGTGTTGCTTTTTTTGCCATGCAAGGTGTCACCAATACAAGGTATTATGGTGCAAAATCATGTTCCCTTTTGTGGACAAAATGTCACTCTCTGACACTTCACCCACCTTTCCACCACAACTACTAATTATAAAGGAAGTTATTTGCCTCTACTTCTTTCACACGATAAACAAGTTCAGGACTTTAAGAAATTAAGAAGAAATGGGAAGAGTTTTGATCTTCTCACTTTTTAGTGCCAAAGCACTTTACGACTTTAATAGTTTGAATATATGCCAAATATTTATTAAATTCTTATAAATTTTTTATTCCTTCTGATATTTAATCTTTTTTTTTATTTTATATTCATTCAGTTCAGTTATAAAAGTTCACAATTAATATCGACCGACAAAATTCATCTTAACAAATTATAAAATCAAATAGTCCAGAACGATTAAGTGAATAGCCAACTTTTCGTTAGCCCTAATTCTATCTAATGTTTGTGTTTATAAATATTACAACAAAAGTCGCAGCCAGAAATGAAAAAAAAATCAAACAATATATTTGTTGAATACTGTCTTTTAACAAAAATTAATTAATCCAAATTTTGAATCCGGAGGTTTATATTATTTTTTTCTGAAAAAAGAGATTTTTTTATCTGTTCATAAAGATCGAGTAGTTCTAATAAAAATAAGTTCCCAAAAAAGCAAATATGTAGATAAAAGAAAGAATTGTATATTTTATAAGATTTTTAAGCAAAAGGCTAGTCCAACTAAGCAATCATGCTTCAAAAGATATATTTTTGATTTGGAAAGCTTCCTTAGAGTTCCATAAAGTTAAAGGAAACGAAATATATATCTGGTAAAGTCTGATGGCAAAAGTGCTCAGATAACGCTAGAGGGAGTGTTTAATTCTCAAACTAACGTGCTCATCCGATTAATTTCTCAAATGAGGTATTTTCTACAGTAGATTTAGGATTTTTCGACGTCTTCAGGGTTGAATCAGATTTTTTTGACGTCTTGCTTTGGAGCTCCAGGTGGGTGTTGGATTGTTTTGAAAGAATTTGGCCTTTTTACACAAATATCACCTTAATATAAATTAATTACTTGTTAGACACTGTTTAAGAATATTTTACGGATCTAGCAAATTTTTAAATACTTTTTATAAAATTTTTATAAATTTTATATAAGTTTACTCAGTACATAATTCACCTAAAATATTAGTGGCACACCACTTAATGATGTTTCCATTGTAGTCCATTCTCTTTTCTTTTTACAATAATATTTTAACACCAAAAAGTATCGGTCAAAAATATACCGAACTTTAGTATAATGTATGATAAAATATATAAGTTTTTAGTTTTGTACAACTTAATATTAAATTTCAATTTAATTTAATATTTATAAATCATTAAATCGTTATTGTCGTGTTATTATTTTATGGGTGTCTAGAAAAAAAGAAAAAATATTTCAAAATTATATACAACTTAAATTTAAATTAAATAAAAAAATAGTTAACATATATTTACATATAATATATCGAGAAGTGTATTTTACACAAATTTATTGAAAAGAAAAGTGTCTTTTATCATGAATCTCGTACGTTGTAAGATCGAAGTTTATAAGTCCATCCTAAAAGATGTGTATGTCTTGTGTTATATTTTAAAATAATAATTTTAAAATATTGTATAATTAAATAAATTTATAAAATATTAAATTTTTTTATATTATTTAAAATGGTATTCTTAAA